TTTCCCCAGAGCTCCTATTCTTTGCTCCCCTTGCACTGAGCCTCTTATATTCATTAGAGTCCCAATATGTCAACAGCTGAGGCCATATATGAGTTGGGATCCAACAAGGGACATAGGTTGAGTTCTTGTCCCATTTCAACTTCTCATCCCTGAGATTGTCACTCCATTTATGTTTCATACAATTTAGGAATGCATCTCGCACATGGCGATTATCTGCAAGATCCCACTGGTAAAGTGTCTGCAAAATAAGAAATGAATAACATTAAATGTCTGAGAAATGTAAATTCTAGTTTAGTAATGAAATTATTTATTTTTATTAGAAATTGCTAAATCCATTCATTTTATTAAATTTGCTAAAACTTAATCTTACCGTGAAACAATTATAAATTTCAGCAATCTTGCTTTGAGGGACACGCTCGTATGTGAAATACGGGCCATCAAAACGTGACTTCCATAATGAAGTGATAGCCCGAGGGATGTTTGGATTAGCAAATTGGAGCTTATCATCAATGAGTTTAACCCATTTCCTACTCTCTCTATTTTCTGAAGGGCGTATTCCTTTTAAATTCCTACTCCGTCCTTTTTTCCCTATCGAGGATGAAGGGCCCTCGTACTCATGATCAGGTGCAAAATTATAATCCATTAATGGATCAATCGTTTGTTGTGTATCCGGAGCTATGCCACTATCAGTAAACAGCTATGGGTGATTAAGATTGTGTTGCTCTTGTGATATTGAGGAGGAAGATCTCCTCCTTTCTGAACTTGCAAGATTTCCAGACATCCTGAAATATGAATAACAAAATAGTTATTAATACATTTATACAAATAATGAGTAACAAATTTAGAACAATCATCCAATGATTTTATTTTAAATGAAAAATATATAACTTGATAAAACAATATATATAAGACAAAGAAATTTTAATACATATATTTAATAAGTAATAATACAAATGTTTCAATTAATCATCATTATCATCACTATCATCGCTATCATCATCATCCTCAACATTATCACTATTTCCTTCGAATTTTGAATCTTTTCCTTCTCTATAGTCCTCCTCTTCTTTAGATGTATTAGCATCAACCTCAACTTCTGTAACACCTTCTGCACATAGTTGAAGTGATTGGTATGCAATTAAATCTATAACTAATGAAGAGCCTTGCATTATGGAGCGGTCATCATCTTGAAAAATATCATCAACCTCTCCTGAAGATGAGGTAGATGAGGTCTCAATTAGATGTCTAGATTTGATTTTGCATGCTACCAACCATCCCCGGGTAGTTCTATTCGTGGCTACCGAATATGGAATATAATAAACTTGTTGTACTTGACTAGCAAGGCAAAATGGCTCCCCCGTTGAAAGTTTAAACCTTGGATTGACATCAACAATTCCGTGTTCAACATTGACACGTATTCCTCGGTCCGGGTCATACCAATCACAATTAAACAATATTATGGTCTTTTGATGGCTTGAGTGTTCATAATGCAATAACTCGATCACCTCTTATAAGACACCATAATAATCAATTTCATCTGCAGAATTAATGGTGGTTCCTTTAACACAAACATCACAGTTATATGTCTTTCTATTACTAGTAAACTCTTCAGTCAAAAATCTAAAGCCGTTCACATAGAACCCATTATAAACATTCACTTCAAAGATTGGGCCAACTACAAGGTGGATAAGTTGTTCGTTGATTTCATATTGTCCACTAAACACCTATATTTAAAAAAAATTAATTTAGTAATATTTAATATTTAATTAAAAATTTGAGAAAATAATATATAACAATTTATTACCATATTTTTAAATCATTGAACAAAATTATTTGTTCACAATCTTTGTAGTTGTTCATGTGACAAATTTGTACCAACTTCTTCCTCAAATTTACTGTAAAATAACATTTATTTATTAATTAAAACGTTATGAAAATCATATAGGCTATTAAACATCGTGTAGTTCTTATTTTCCTACGAAGTAAAACTTACGTTACCCAAACATCAACCTCTTTGCAATTTAGCAAGACATATAGTTCAGCTGCATCTTTCTCCTCCAATGTTAAACATCGTGTACGTGAGTGGGCACCTATTGATTCACCAGGGGAACAAAATACAGATAACTTACCTAGGACGTTGGTTCCAATGCCACCATAGTTCCTTGGAGGCTGATTCCAGCTTGTCTCAACATCATCCCCAAAATAATGAGAGCAAAAGTGGGATATCTCGTATAATATAAATGCCTCATCAATTGATGCCTCGACATGATTTTTATTCCCTTTGGTACTCTTAAGTTTGCGCATGCGCTTGAAATGAAATTCTAATAAGATTAATTTTAAAAAAAGTAATCAAAAGTAAGTTTTAAAATTATTAATTTCTTTGTCTGTTTTACCTTTCAAATGGGTCATCCAACAAAATTAAACAAGACCACCAACTCTGGCCTCATATGAAAGATGAATTGCTAGATGTTCCATAGAATCAACGAATGCTGGGGAAAATATTATTTCTAACTTACAAATTATTTCAACAATCTTTGCCTCCCACTTCTGCATCTTAGTAATTTTAATGACCGGGGAATAAAATGAACAAAAGAAGTTACTAAGGTTGATCAAAGGACCCCAAATAGCAAATGGCAATAAACCGCGAAAAGCAACTGGAATTAGTCGTTGCATGAAAACATGACAATCATGACTTTTCATCCCAAATAACTTGGACTCATTCAAGTTGACACATCTTGATATGTTGGAAGCAAACCCATCTAGAAAGCGCAACTGTTTTAGCCATGCACATAAAAGCTTTTGTTTTTTGGATATCAGTGCATAACTAGCATTAGGTTTCACAAGCTTACCATGCGTATTATATCCCATGTGCAGTTTCTTCGGTCACAATAAATGGCTAAATCCAATCTTGCTTTCCCATTGTCTTTTGTTTTATTGTCATTCATAACAGTGTGTATTATACTATCAAAGAAATTTTTCTTACAGTGCATTACATCAAGATTATGTTGAATAAGATTATCATGCCAATAAGGAAATTCCAAAAAAATGCACCTTTTCACCCAATTATGGATGTTCCCAAAACCCTCAATTGTTTGGTTTTCACACTACTGCAGGAATGGGATTTCCGAACCGAAATATCGGTCCGAATATATAGGAAATCGGTCTGAATATATATAT